AACTGATGACATTAGTTCATTAATTATGAATTCTGTTTGTCTGTTTTTCTTATCGGACTTTGCGGTTTAGTTATTTTATTCTATATTCGTCCTTTACAAGAAAACCGCAAAAGTTTTTTAAATGTTATGTTACTTTAGATTTGAATTGTGAAACCGCGAAACGGAACTTGCATCACTTACCGACAGATGTCAGGACATAGTAATTATTTCGCTGCAAATATACACTACGTTTCACAAGTGACTGCTATTTTTCTCAGCTGCACAATATTTTTATTATAACAAGATTTTATTGTATTTAACAATTGTTTCTCCACACTGTAACAGCTTCTGTTACAAATTTAATCGTCAGGAAGATTAATTAGCGTCTTGAACACTCTGTGTTCTATCTATCGGGACACAATGTATATCTTTCAAAGCGAAGATTAAACATAACCTCTAAGAAGTGACAGTGACAATTGTGCATATCAAAGTTTATTTCAACCGTTTAATGAGTTTAGTGAGATAGATTCTGTGGTTGTTTTTCAAAGTTAGTGTACTTTGAACTTTAGACTTGCATTACCAGCTAGTGAGTTGTGTATAAATTTAGTTGGGAATAAACATTTGGAAAAAATGATACCCATTTATTCCTATTCAAGATCAGTTGCACAGGTAACAATTTATAATAATATATAATTAAGCATATGATTAAGATATATTGTTGCAGGTTTCCAGCAGGTTTGCAAGATTCAAAAGTACTTTGGTTGTAGCAGAGCATAATAACGAATCTCTGTCAGCTATAACTCAAAATGCATTATCTGCAGCTAAAAAAATTGGAGATGATATTTCCATTCTTGTGGCAGGAACCAAATGTGGTCCTGTAAGTATGATGTTATTTAATTCTAACTTGAGTATTAATAGAAAATAATTTAGGTTGTTGAAGCTCTTTCAAAAGCCCAAGGTGTTAAGAGGATTATAGTTGCTGAAGATAAGGCATTTGAAGGATTTGTAGCTGAAAATTTAACCCCATTAATATTAAACACTCAAAAGCAGTATAATTTTACTCATATTTTGGCTGGTGCAACAGCTTTTGGTAAAAGTGTTTTACCAAGAGTTGCTGCAAAGCTTGATGTTTCCCCAGTAACAGATGTTGTTGGTATTAAATCAGAAGATACATTTATAAGAAGTATATATGCAGGTTGGTTTGTTATGTGTGTTTATTCTGACTGGTATTTATTTCAACTGATGATAATTATTTAAGGTAATGCAATACAAACTTTAACTGCCACTGATCCTGTGAAAGTATTAACAGTCCGTGGAACAAGCTTTGAAGCTGAAAAATTAGAAGGTGGATCTGTTCCCTCTGAACCAGCACCTGCAGGAGATTACAATGCAAATCTCACAACTTTTGTAAGTCAAACTCTTAGTAAATCTGACCGACCTGAATTGACAAGTGCTAAAGTTGTGATTAGTGGAGGTAAACTGTGAAAATAGTCTGTTTTCTTTTGAAATAATCGTTCTGATTAATTGCTAGGAAGAGGGATGAAGTCTGGAGATAATTTCAAACTTTTATATGCTCTTGCTGATAAGTTGAATGCTGCTGTTGGTGCTTCTAGAGCTGCAGTGGATGCAGGATTTGTGCCTAATGATTTACAAGTGGGACAGACAGGAAAAATTGTTGCACCAGTAATTATTTTAGCTTTTTGTAATGTAATGTATGTACTTTGGTATGAATTAATCAATACAATTTTAGGATTTATATGTTGCTGTTGGTATTTCTGGTGCCATACAACATCTTGCTGGAATGAAAGATAGTAAAACAATTGTAGCAATTAACAAGGATCCTGATGCACCAATTTTTCAAGTTGCAGACTATGGTTTAGTAGCTGATTTGTTTAAAGCTGTCCCTGAACTCACTGAAAAGTTATAATCTGTTTGCACTTTTTTAGAATCATGTATATTTATCAATTACCCCCATACAAATAAACACATTTTTATATGAAATTGATTTTGATTGAGTTCAAAATAACACCTAATTTAATACATATTGATCTACATTAGATAACTTTAGAGTTTTTGTACTGGAAGTATGTAGCTTTTATTTGATATAAATAAAGTTATAGTTTTAAAAAAACGCCTTTGTTTCATAATATGGAACAATAACAAAATCCTTTTCCATTTTGTAATTATTTGCTACTTGGGACTTGGCGTGAAACCAATAAATTTGAAATAAAATAGGAATGAGGTAAAGTAAGTATTTGAATTAGTTAATTTGCATTTCTTTGGTTGAATTGTGATTATTTTTTGTTTTCTTGATACAACAAGAACTAATTTATTAAACTCTGATGTATTATAAAATATAATAATAAATACAAAAGGGGCTTACATATTATACATATTATTAAATTACTATGAAAATGTATATTATAGATGTTTTTTCTGTATTTGTTATTACATAACTTCTTGTTTTACATTCAATTGATATTTGAATTTAAAAATTATATAGCTTTTATCTGTTAATAGTTTACCTTAGGCTTTTCATTAATAGATGGCATGGTAGGTATGCTGTGGTTAATAAATTTATTTGAAATAATATACATTTTGGCCGCTAGAAGATGCTGTGTGCTGTAGAAACAAAATTATTAATTGAAATATTTATCTCTTCGTACATATGCAGAGTGATGAACTTACGTATATACATGGCGGATCATGATTTTGTTAAAGCAGGAACGCAGAACAGAAAAATATGAGTTTAATCAAATAAAACGTTAAAAAGTATTATTAAAATAAAGCACAAAAAAATTTTCAAGAAAATATTGTTTCGCCACGTAATATACACTGAAACTTTTTGTTTTATTTTAATAATAATGGATAAGTTTCAACATGTAGCAGCTACCACTCTAAATAGTTTTGATTAGATATTAAAAAGTTACTTAATCAAGGGTCATTTTTAACGTTTTATTTGTCGAATTATTAGGATAAAATTATCAGATTCCAATAAAGTTATCTTAACTATACAAAATATGCATATTCTCAAAGAAACTTCATTAAACGAATTAAAACAATTTATTTTAGACGTTTAGTTACACACAAATAAATTATTATCAGTCTTAAAGTTTAGTTAATAATTTTGCTTAATAGTTATACTGCTTCTAGTGGTATATGGCAAATCCTTCGGACTAGCAAGATCGGCACTTGTAGCAAATATATCATCCCCATCAATAAGATAGGACTGTACATTACAATAATTATAAGGCAAGTAAAAAGAACCCATAAGGGTATATTAGTAAAATATGCAAGCATTATCATCATCCAATCGTTGTATTAACTGCAAAAAAAGAAACGAAACAAATAGGTAACAGCTAAACAATTAGTCCAATATGATACACGATCTTTGTAATGAAATTTACCACATTTATTGGTTTGGGTTTTTGAAGTAGCTCAAGTAAAAATGATACAATTTTCTTCTGCGGTTATTTAACTGTTTCTTAAGCTTTTAAGAAGTTAAATTGGTGTCATTAAATAAAAAAATTTCGTTCTTATGTAGTTAGAAAGAGCAGACCAAAATAGATTAGCCATTAAACGTAAATTAATTACAGTTACGAGTTTTCCCGAATGAATAGATATAAAATTAAGAAAAGGGAAAGTGTTTTGTAAGGATTTAATGATTGTAATCGTTTTTGACTTTTGATAATTCAAATAAGTTCGTATATGTACGAATGTTATTAAAAGTAAATGGTTCATTGCTATTGCAATATGTCCTTACGACGTTTGTTATCCTGATGGAAGAGATAGAGTAGTAAATTGAAGTGGTTGGAGATCCAATCAAAACAATTCAATTTCTTTTGTTAAGTGTTTATAATTAAAAATTTACTCACATCTAAAAATCTTCGTGTGGACCTCCTTGTTCAGGTATTTCTTCACATATTAAGATTACGATCGACTTATGCAACAATCGTTCCTGTAACACACTTCTTTATAAACCAAGGTCGTTGCTGACACGACGATTCCATGGATCTTTTACATGTGAAGATATGATGTTTTCATTTATATTTGGTCACTATTACAATAAGTACTTACTTATTTTATTATTATATTAACACATCGACTAGGTACTGCCGAGTTCAACCCGAAAATGTACATTTAATACTGAATTAAAATAACTTGGAACTTCTTAATAGAGTGAGAGTGATTTAGTTTGTATTAAGCAGGTACCTACGTGAGTATTTCACACCTCAACTTTCACTTGTGCATTAGCTGAAACGACTCAGTAAGTTGTAATATGGGCACATAACGGGGCCAATGGGTAACCAGGTTTTCGTCGTTTATGAAAATAAAAAAACATTTCTTGCGTAACACCCACGGTAGCGATATGCAAAAGCAAATGCTATAACTTTCTTCGTAAAAAATCCGCAAGGTATATGAGTGAAACTTATTTAAAACAATACTATTCCCAAGCTTCCAGTTTTTCTAGTCGTCATCTGTTTATTTTTAGGTACTCTATTATCTGTTTCAATAGTACTAAGTGTTTTCTTCCTTGAAACTATTAGATACATTAAAATTTCTCCTTTTTGCCAATTCGATATTTATTTTCTATTCGAGTATCTAGCTTTTTTGAACGTAAATTGTATTAAATTGAAAGGAGTGGTTAAGTTTTAAAACGACTGAGACGATAAATGATAAGGACTATTCTCGTCCGTCCTTCTTATCATTACTTGAAACATTTTTATCTCTAATGTATTGTAAGTGTTTATTTAATAGCATTGATCTTTTTGGTACAAGAAACATAGTGTCCGTGTAGAATTTTAGGATAACAATTTCCAGGACAGACGAAAGACATTCGTCCCTTCTGTGGGGAGAAGCGGAAAGGAAAAAGGGATGAGCCTTAGATTACTGATTAGGTGTAGTAAATACATTTAAATATCACAAACCCTTTCTTATGTCCAAGAATGTCGCATATTTTTGCAAAAATGATGCCGGAAGGTATCTCTATTTGACACTGCACTGGAAAACGGTTGGCAGCACGAGCTTCTACGTACTTTTTTACATGATTATCACTTCTCAAAGCTTAGTAAATATTTTCCATCTCTCAGTAATTTAACGAGCGCTTTTTAATGCTCCAAGTATTTTACATATTTTTGCAAAGATAATGCCGGAAGGTATCTATTTGACATGATGAGATTCTACGTACTTTTTTACATCATTATCATTTTTCAAAGATTCGTAAATAGTTTCTATCTCTCAGTAATTTCACGAGCGCTTTTTAATGTTCCAAGTATTTTACATATTTCTGCAAGGATAATGCCGGAAGGTATCTATTTGACACCGCAGTGGAAAGCCGTTGACACCATGAGATTCTACATACTTTTTAACATCATTATCACTTTTCAAAACTTAGAAAGTACTTTCTATCTCTCAGTAATTTCACGAGCGCTTTTTTATGTTCCAAGTATTTTACATATTTTTGCAAGGATAATGCCGGAAGGTATCTATTTGACACCGCACTGGAAAGCCGTTGACACCATGAGATTCTACGTACTTTTTCACATATTTATTACTTTTGAAAACTAAGTAAGTACATTCTATCTCCTAGTAAACTCACGAGCGCTTTTGTATGTTCCAAGTATTTTACATATTTTTGAAAAAATAATGCGGGAAAGTATCTATTTGACACCGCACTGAGAAACCGTTGGCACCATGAGATTCTACGCACTTTTCACATAATTATCATTTTTCAAAGATTCGTAAATAGTTTCTATCTCTCAGTAATTTCACGAGCCCTTTTTTATGTTCCAAGTATTTTACATATTTTTACAAAAATGACGCCGGAAAGTATCTATTTGACACCGCACTGGGAAACCGTTGGCACCATGAGATTCTACGCACTTTTTCACATAATTATCACTTTTGAAAACTTAGAAAGTACTTTCTATCTCTCAGTAATTTCACGAGCGCTTTTTTATGTTCCAAGTATTTTACATATTTTTGCAAGGATAATGCCGGAAGGTATCTATTTGACACCGCACTGGAAAGCCGTTGACACCATGAGATTCTACGTACTTTTTCACATATTTATTACTTTTGAAAACTAAGTAAGTACATTCTATCTCCTAGTAAACTCACGAGCGCTTTTGTATGTTCCAAGTATTTTACATATTTTTGAAAAAATAATGCGGGAAAGTATCTATTTGACACCGCACTGAGAAACCGTTGGCACCATGAGATTCTACGCACTTTTCACATAATTATCATTTTTCAAAGATTCGTAAATAGTTTCTATCTCTCAGTAATTTCACGAGCGCTTTTTTATGTTCCGAGTATTTTTACAAAAATGAGGCCGGAATGTATCTATTTGACACTGCACTGGGAAACCGTTGGCACCATGAGATTCTACGTACTTTTTCACATAGTTATTACTTTTGAAAACTAAGTAGGTACATTTTATTTCCTAGTAAACTCGCGAGCGCTTTTATATGTTCTAAGTATTTCACATATTTTTGCAAAAATATGCCAGAAGGTATCTATTTGACACCGCACTGGAAAGCCGTTGACACCACGAGATTCTACGTACTTTTTCACATAATTATCACTTTTCAAAACTTAGAAAGAACTTTCTATCTCTTAGTAATTTCACGAGCGCTTTTCGATGTTCCAAGTATTTTACATACTTTTGCAAAAATAATGCCGTAATGTACACCGTAAAATATGTTACACAACATATATATTGTAAATGGTATTTCTCTTTGTATCTGAATATTTTTCCCTTAGAAGCAAATTATTTGACTTTTTCATATATAAATAAACTTTGCAGTAATCAACTTTATTAACAAAGAACAATAAAGACAAACCTTTTATTATTAAAAATTTATTTAGTTAAGTAACTAAGTAATAATTAATCACATATTGTCCTTAAAATAAAAACGCTTATTTGTGTATTTTTTCTTTTAAGTTGGAATTTTTATTTAGCAACATTTCTTCCATTTTTATTGACAGTCAAAATGACGTCGTAAATGTTTTTCGATAGGTGTGAACGCCAATTATATTTCACGCTTTTTGAGATACAATCAGAAATGAGCTCAACTATTGCTTTTTATTAATGCTTTCCATGTAAATTATTATCAGTTCATCTGCTGCGCATCCTGTTAATATAGTTTTCTTGTCATCTTTTTGTTATGTTTTTCTTGCTTGTTGCTCTAACAAAGAACAGTATAAACATGTTTATGTCATTTCTTAATTACATGCAGTTAAAAAGATTGCAAATGATACAAGATAAGCCACCGAACATGCATAAAAACGTATAATTACTTTTTTGTTAATTTTATGCCATAATATTCTATATAAACAAACTCGACCAATTTAAACATTAAAAGGAATAAAGATTATACTTTTTTGGCGTAGGTATTTGTAAACATGCCTTTTTAATGTAGTATGGCATGTAATTATATGTAGGTACCTATACATATTTTTTTTTTTTAATTTAGTACGGATGTTCTTTTGTTTTCGTTTTTATTATTCTCTCAGTTTGTCTCATATAATTTGAATGATTAAAATCGAGTTATAATAAATTTTAATGAAGTTTTTAAAAGGGTAACATTAGGTACTTAATTTAAGTATATAGCATGCGGTATTCATAATTCAATCTATACTAGAACTAAATGGTTTTTAAACTTGTTGAATTTGGGTATTTCGTGTGACTTACAAGATTGTTGCAATTTTAGAAGGACTTAACCGAAAGTTTATTGCAGAAAACGATTAGGTTTTATGTACTACTGCAGGGTTGCTAAGGAGTTTGGCGAGCACTTACCCTATAAATGCATTAGTCTGATCGGAAATTTAATGCTACAACAAAATTACTGTTTACATAATCGTAGTAGGGCCTAATCTCTGAATCTACTTATCCGATTTCAAAAATTCTTTTACCAATATTTAGAATAGACCTTTAACAATTTTGACAAGACAACGAATTATTGTACCTACAAAATTAATTAATTAATATATTAATTACTCTTCGCAAATAGTTAAGGATGTGGGCTGTTCTAGTTTTAGGGAAATACGAAGTTTAGCTCAGGATAGGAAAGAGTGGAGGTACGTGTCCAACCAGTCTTAGAACTGATGACATTATGATGATGATGATGAAAATTAATACAAATACTATTACATTAAATTAATAGAAGATTATACTTGTTGTAAGTCATTTGTTTAAATCTCAAGATATAAAAGTGTTTTTGCAAATTAATGAGATGAATTGTAATAAATGATATGGTCAATATACTTTATAAGTTCATTAACGCCTGTTTGAGGCCTTGCCATTTAATTCCACTTGACCAACTCGTTCTGAACGGGATATTTTAAGTTTGGAAAATCATTTTTTGTTCAAAAAATTCGCTTGGTACGGAAATAGAATGAAAAAATCCGTACGAGAAATAACCAGTTCATCGAGTTACTTTTTTACGTGTTTCAGTCTCATTTGAGCTTAATTAACGTCGAAACGTTTTGTTAAGATCACTTTCAATCTCAAGGCTGACAGCACCAACATTTTCTTTTTATTTTCCGCACTCATCGTCGCCGTTTTTGTACTCAATCTTTGCAAATACAACATGGTATATAAAATTATCTAAAATCTATTAACATAGCAATACCAATAAATTTCTTTTAATTAAGCTAACACACACTATTCTTTTGACGTAAAAAATGATTCATAATTTTAAATTCTTTTAATTGGTTCAACCCAATTAAATTTGTACTCAAAATATGCTCGACAGGGTGTCTTAATGTGATATTGGTTGTGTTGAAATCGTATTAGGATAGGCAGGGTGTCGTAAGCTGAATCCTGTTTTTCCGAAAACTAAAAAAATTATCCATAATTTCGGGGTCAATTTTAATCCACTTTCTTGTATCTGAACTCCCAAAAAACGCGTTGAATGGACAATGTCTCGTTACATGGGTACCTATAGTAGTTCAAATCAATTAAAATTTGTGTGATAAAGGCATTTGAATGTATGACAAATGTGATCTATGCAAATTGTTCTTCCGAATTACCACTAAGTATGTAGGAACATAGTCACCATGTATATGGTGCATTTCTAATCAGTTATATGTACATATACCTATATAGATGTTTGTTCTATTAAAGGTGTTGTAATTTACATAATATATATTAATGTCTTAGGGTACAATTCAACTAATGTGCAACAGTTTAAGTGTAGGTTTGTTACGTAAGTTATTTACAGACTTGAAAAAAAGAATGACCACTTCACTTTCTTCGGTATTTCATTAAGGTACGAGTTTTTATTATTTTTCTTTTTTAGGTGATAAATAGAACCTTTGTGACCAAAAAATTCGACCTCGACATTTGTTTTGTGTTGTCAAACTTGCTAAATAATATTATGTACTTACTTAACTTTACTTCGTAGGTTTTGGGTGTTGGTAATTATAGCACAATTCGTTATACATAATAAGTATGAACATTTCAGGACATAATTTGACATTATCTTTGATTGTCGTCGAAAACTGATACAGTAAAGGTTAATAGCTTTGTATAATTATTGTTACGATAGTATTATTAATTAGTTCCAAATTAAAAAAATACCTAATATGCTGTGAAAAAATTCATTTATTTTAAAACATAAATATGTACGGAGCGTGTTAAAAAAAAAATTGTGTATCAAAATAGCTGATAATTAATCTTTGGTGTTACACATTACATATTTTTTGGCCGGAAAGCACTGGAAAACAACTGATAATCTTTTTCAGTATCATAAGTTAAAGGCATTGATAAAAAGGATAGTAAAAAGCGCTCAAGAACAGGAACTTTTCTTTGTGAAAAATATTGTTGACAAATTCCAAAGCTATTTACTTGGGGTTTTAGGTAAGATTGAAAAAATGTACTTCCGAAATCAATTAGCCTTCTGTTTTCAAAATAAATAATGTTAATACGACGAATATGCAAAGATATGCGACAAATGACAATGTTCAATACAAATTGTGACAACTCTTAGATTCTCCTTCGAATTTTCTTTATTAAAAACATAATATAAAAAGTTATTCAATTGTGAGAACTCATTTCGACACATCGGCCAGTTCTAAACATATGTTTAAAATAAGCGGGACTTACGAAATTGTGAAGATCTAATCTAATGAAGCAGTCATTTCCTTTTTCTTACGGATAATCAGCAAAATTATGCAATTCTAATAATATGTTTATAGGATGTAGGTACTTCAAAATCTTCATCATTCTTTTTCTGAAAATACGTGTGCAGATTAGTGTTGCCCAAATTCAGTCTTGGTCTTGCAGTCTTGGTCTTGTTCTTGCGTTTTTGCAAGACCAAGACCAAGAACAAGACCGCGTATTTTTAGCAAGACCAAGACCAAGACTGACCGTGCAAGACTTGAGCAAGAACAAGACATAGCCTGCAAGACTCTTGCGTCTTGCAGCTAGGACTTAGCGCTATTTCACTGAGTAGTTAGGTGTAACAGTTCAGTGTATAGGTAGGTACGCTTAGGAATTCTATGAGACGCAAAAAACTGTATCAAAGAATATGAAAAACTGGACCTATGCGCATTACGACTAATACCATAAACATAGCGAATAAAAAAATTATTAAAATCAAACTGAGTGCATGCATAGTTATGTTTTAACCATCGGCACTTTGATAATGCGGCATCAAAGGTTTTGTACTTACTTCTCAAAGAAATTTGCCGCTTTTCGGAAGTACATGGTTATGATACACGCGCCGGCGGCTTCTTTTGAAATCTAAAACAATCGTTGCCGCCACGCCGAAATCATAACATTTGACACTATTTGATTGCCGCCATAGGGTGTAGGTATACTCATGCAAAATAATTTCGAATTTTTTTACACGCTTTATATTATTGTTTGATTTGCGGCGGCATCCTTATCATAGAGCCGGCACGTGGCGAGGCGGCGCGGTAGAAAGCAAGGATCATAAATGTTTATTAAGAAACAGTTACTTCCATGGAAAACGACATATAGGTCAGTTGATTTTTCGAATTTCTTATCAAATCTTCAGTTATTTATTAATCTGCTTGATCTTTACTATGGCTATATTCATTCAAGCTCACAATGTTCCAATTCTAATACGTTTTTCTAGGATTTAAAGTAAACTTTAATAAATAGTAATAGACTAATAGGTAATTGCAAGACTTGCAAGACTCTTGCTGCAAGACCAAGACCAAGACCAAGACTGGGAGCGCAAGACCAAGACCAGGTGTATTGGCGCAAGACCAAGACCAAGACTGGCTAAGTCTCGTCTTGTTCTTGCGTTTGGGCAACACTAGTGCAGATACTTTAGAAACTGCAGCAGTTGTAATATTTTCATAATGTTTGGAAATTTTATCATAAAGGAAAAGTTGGAAGGAAACATTTTTACAACACGTTTCCAGAAAATGTTAAAATTAGTCCCACACAAAACATACTGATGCTATACTAATTGTGCTTGTGCTCATGGGCCAAAAGCGGTGTTTTTTTTTTTGAAAAATAATAGCTAACTAACTATAGTATATTAGTACCTAATGTTGTAATACCTAAAGAAAGAACAACTTGAGTAAACATTAAAGAAGAGATCTTATTTGATATTGATGAATACGATAAAAAATTGTCAAAATGATTCAAGGTTGAAAAAGAATGTTGAATTTTTAAAAATTGCAAGACCTTGCTCTTTATAATTTCCAAACATGATACAGTTTTATGTTTTTGAAAATTATGTGGTCGATATCGTTATACAAAGCGATCTGCTACAATTTAACTGAACGGAAAGGGTGATACACCACCTACAAAAAAAGTTCACGAAAAAAAAAATTGGGGAGATTCTGCTTTGGACATGTTTCATGTGTATGCATATGTGTATGTGTGTGTAGGTGTGTCTAATTGTAAGTGATATTTGGTAAATAAAGTGTTGCATGTCGGGTGGACAAGTATATATATAGGTGATCGAAGTGGCTGGATTCAAAGGTAAACTTGATCTCCATATGAGCAGTAAATGTCGACTATAATGAAGGTAAGTCTTTCGCAACTGCTTAAAACCGTGGTGAACTTTTGTAGCAAAATTTTTCATTTCAAGTGTTTCAAATTAGACAGTGTTTTTTATATTCATTATATGTGATACAGTTTGAATTGTGTTGCATAACAACTAGTGCAAATTGTATGGATAAAAATCGGGTGTGTGTCATTCCAATTAAATTCAAATAATTTCTGTCTAAGATGGTCTTAATTGGCACCGTACCTAAATAAATTACAATCAATAACAGAATTAAAATTCCACGTCTCTGACAGTTTACTTTTTAACATAATCATATTTTGTGATAATCGGACAAGCAAATGAAAATTGTAAAGTACAAATTAATTAATTTTGGTAAGAGCGTGTAACAAACAACGGAACTAATTTAATTAATTAATAAATTTTGAGAGATTTATGGACATGTTAATTAATATAATTTGTTAAGGAATTACATTTACATTCGCGAAAAAGTGATTGATATATTAGTTCATCGTCATTTTTAATCGTTAAGATATTTAAATTATTCGTCGCATTTGATCTTAAATTTAATTGCCTGTATAAACAACCTCAAGGATTTTTCCAAAAATTAGATTGGTACGTAGAAATATCAAAAAAAAGAAATGTCAAAGCTTTTAAAACCAACACGACATAAAACTCCAATGAATATTGAAAGTTACAAGAAAAATTTATATACCTAAAGTTTCTTAAAATTTTAGCTTGTTGAACCCTTTTTAATGTTCATTTTTTACATGGAACAATTAACTTGCCTGTAGTACGCACTTTCTAAGTGATAAAAATGATAATTGCGTCAGATAATAATTGATCAAAAATTTCTTAAAATAACTGATCACTCAAAACAGTGACGTAAACTTTTTGTTTTTAGTTCTTCACACTTTTATTGACAACTTGTCTGTGCGTCGTCAAGGGTCAAATTTTCGGTCAGCCTTTTTTGCCATACGGTAACGGCTACGTTAACCCTAATTTTGGTCATAATATTTTCCCCCGTCCAAGTTATCCATCGCTACCTCCTAGAGTGATAAACCCATTTTCAGTTCCTCGATATTCTTTACCGTATACACCTTCACCCTACGTGCCTCAATATTTCCCATTTTATTATCCTGCAATTCCTGCATATTATCCTGATGGGTCCCAGTTTGGTGCGGGGAAGTTTCCGGTTACACCTGCCGACGCTTCGCAACCTACTACAGCGGTTAGCACTCCAGCCGGAAGTCCTAGTACTACTACCACCAAACCTGCAATTATCTCCGGATCAAGCACCACTCACAATCCTTCCACTTCCGTTACGGAACTACCAGTAACCGGTGACGAAGATACCGTATCCGTTGAAGCAGCACCGTAATTGTTTCACTTGATTTTAATTTTATTACTTACATATGTAGTTATAGGTAACGTTATTTGTTTGTGTTTGATTAGAGCAATTAAATGTTGTATTACGTATAAAATGGTTGGATTAGTTAGGACTGTAGTCAGTTCCTTCTTTTCGTAAAATTCATTACATTACACAAAACGATTATTATTAATACTCATAGTACGGCTGTTCACACATCAACAAATAAATGTTTTAGTTAGTGGTTCTTGTTATCTTTCATCCCTTCAGTCCCCCCAACCTTTTTGCGTCGTTGGCGATGAGGTAGACAATGTTGAAGCCGGTCCTGTATTGTATTATTAGATATGAAATGTTATCACCAAGGGCTCATGTACTGGGCCACCCCGAATATTAATTTGACCTGATATAACGTTAACTATAAAATTACAATAATGAGATGTTTTTGTTTAATGATACAAAAATATCTGTAACTTTTTCCAAATCGAGATGTTTTGTGATTTTTCTCTCTGTGAACAAGATTGCTAAGTGTGAAGATAATGGTAATAATTTCAAATAAACACTCCCTGTATGCTAATTACTTTTTGAACCTATATGTACCTATAACATTCATCTTGTGTTTAATTCGTTTTGTACTTAAAGAATTTGTTTATATTTGTTTCAGTTAGCAACATTTTTAACAACAAATTTGTAAGGTTTAAGGAATACAACTAATAATTTAATCCAGTAATCCATAAATATCTGTATTATTCGAAAGCTGATTGTTTCAGTTTATTAATTTGTGCTTCTTGAAATAAAAACATCTTTGACATTCTTTTGATCCGTCCAGTTATCATGTTTTCGTAAACCGAACATGCGCGAACTAATAAAGTTCATTAGTGACTAATCTAACGTAAAATCCACTTTAGTTGTATGAGACGTTTGATAATCGCAACAACAATACGCACATTGGTACAAAACGGGTGTTATTTATGAATAATTAAATGTTTTATGTGTCAATTTAGCTGGAACACTGCAAATCACGTATGTTCTTATTAATTACAAGTTAAAGCTACAACTTCTCTAACTGGAATTTCGAGTGAGCTTTACATTATAAATTTTCCATTTAATTCGAACCTCTATTCATTTTCTTCTGAAAAATCAGGTGCAGTGATAAGCAATAGTCCAGTTTTTAAGAGGAATTATTACATTTGTTCAGTATTTAATTTTCATGTGCTTTTTAACTGAGCTTTGCTCTGTATCCTGATTTTATGTAGTCCTGTAACAGTCCTTATTTTCTGCAGTATTTTGTACTCCTGGCAAAAGTATCTGAAGTTTGATTACTGTTTATAGTTTGAGTAAATAAAATTTAGATTTACTTAAAAATGCAATAACACATGTTACGACATTTGACGATAACCATTTAACAGAGGGCCGATTAAGTATTAAAATGTGTAGAAAAGTGTATCTAACAACTAAAGTTAGTTAACGTTTCTATTGCTTTTTTAAAAAATTAACTAGGACTTAAAAAGCTATCATAAAAATTAATAAAAAACAGCAATACACTATGTGTTACATATGATACATAACACTATTACTTGATGGGCCAAAACTGTCTTGACTCATTATTCACTGACTTATCAACGTCTAGGCTAAACCCTTGGACATAGACAGCTGAAATTTTGCGGAGTTGAGTTTTCCCTTAATAAAGCGTGACTGTGCCTTCAATCTCTTTTGCGATACGAATTGAAAATTAATAATAATCGCCTTTTGTTTTTGCGTTAGAGGAATACTAATAAGTACAATAATCAGAGATGTGGTTTATTTGAAATACTTGCATTTAAAATGCAAATACAAAAAAGACATACCTTTTTTTATCTTGCATTTAAATAGTCTTTTGAGAAAAGCATTTTGTGTATTTTCTATTTGTAAAATGCAAAAGACATTTTAGCCATTAAAAGTTTTCCTAGTATCACCGATCAAGCATTACATAAAATGTTGAATGAAAGTTGCTCACAATGACGATTGAAGAGAGCCCAAAAAATTCTAAACTCCTCGGAAATTGATAATCTAAAATATTGGATCGATATTGTTTTCCGGGTTTAATGTCATGGTCCATGGAATTTTGAAGTTCTAAATTGATATCAGCATCTGCCAAATCACAACTTATCGTACCTTTAGCAAGGAACTACGAAATTCTATGAATTACTATAAAACAGCCCGCAAAACAATATCGAATTGATATACATTAGCTGTGTAAAACTGAAAACTACAAGATATTGTAGTGTCCTAATAAATGCGTATAATCCAAAATAGAAAACTATTTGAAAAACTTCACTTATTAGATGAACCCAAAGCTAAAGAAACTATGGATTATATTTCTTTCTTTTATTACAATGTGTAAACGGTCGTAAACAAAATGGGGTCGTAAATATTTTGATATAAAATGATTGATGTTGATTTTACATCAATAAAATTATTTGCAACCCTATTTTGGCTTTGATCTTTCACGCTAAACAAACTAGTTTGGCATCAGTATCTTTTTTCAAATTAAAACGGGTGACAAAGGCAAATAAGGATGCATATTGAAGAATTATTTGTTGCTGAACTAAAGAAACTATAAAATAAACATCTCAATAATTTCAAACAGAAAAATATGAATCATCTTTGTAGGTGATATAGTGCAAATACCACTGTTAGTCTAGAAAAATTCGAATATTTAGAAAACGAGTAAATGCCTGCAAGGTTTTCTTAAAAAATATTTTATGTCTACTCAAGTAAATGTGGAAAATTAAATAGATACCTACTACAAAAAAGTATTTATTGGAAAAAAGTATTTTGAAAATACGTATTTTGCATTTTAGCACTTACAATACAAAAGGGAAATTTATTTTTTATTTTACATTTGCAATAACAAATCAAAAAAGTACTTTCCATATAAATACTTTTAAAAAACCATTGTGTACATCTCTAATAATAATAGATATTTAACACACACCCATTGTACTAATTATGGGGTCCACAAGTCTCTAATTAATTATTCTAATTATGTATTTGTTTTAAAACGTGTAAAATTATCCATTATTTAGGGATTTTGTAGTCTGTCTCATTTCATCCGGATCACAACAAAATTTATGTATGATGCGGCTCCAAAAACGTCCAAGATCTGTCACTTTGTTCAATCCAATTTAAATTCGTAGAATGCAACCCCGCACAGGGGGTGTTGTAGTGCGACATGTGTTTTGATGACAATCTGTTCTTACGAAATCGAAGAAAATTGTTCATTATTTTTCATAGTTTTCAAATTTGGATTAGGAAAATTTTGTTCTTTTTAGTAGTTCAAGTCAATTTAAATTCAATAGAGGGATGCTTTTGAGACTCCATAACGAGTAGGGGGGGGGCAATGTATGTTAAATATGCAGTACTATAATGGAAACTCAGAATCTATATGGTTAGTATGAGACGTTNAACTTCGTGTTAATTGATGACCTTATTACCACCCTTGACCAGCAGTGGTCAACCGATTTTATGAATAAAATTTGTCATTAACTTCATGCCAGCTCTGATTTCTTTTTCCCAAAAAATTGAGAAAGCGTTTTAAAAACCTCAAATGGTAATTATTTTAGGGCTTCGAATATCTTCTCTTATGATACTTCTAAATTTATTGAATATTTATAATTGTGTTTACGTATCTATTTTGACGTATTTACGTTATTTAAATGTTGTAGGTTTTTTCTTTAATTTATGTGAGTGCATGATAAAGTACACTTTTATGTAATTATTTTTCTGTATAGATATTTATGGAGACGTTTACTTAAGTGGACATCAGCCTGAATCCTTCCTTGTTGAAGCAATGCTTGGTTAGCAGTAGCTGTGCTTTCGTGGTGGTTATTGTATAGGTAAAGTAAAAAATGATGCAGAAAGGGAGTACCTTCTTTCATAAAAATCATATTCGAATAATTTAGAAAAGCTGTCTTGTTTGAATGCAAAATTTAAAATGCCTACTTTTATAAGATACACTACTATAAGTGTATAGTATTTGGAACTTAAGAAAATGTTCAATTTATATCCAAAATGATATCTGAAAAAACAGTCTTATTAATTTATTTCAATATTTTGTTTTATAATAATTTACACATTGAGATGAACTTTGTTACTAAAAAAACAAGCATCAAGTACCTTTTTTACATTTTAATTAGCCGCAATACAGCTTCTAAAGCCATTGCATTCCAAATTCGATAGCACATTATATTATCATTTAAAACTGCTAATATAATCTATTTACTAACTTAATTTTCTTGCATCTATCTGTTTTAGGTAACAACCATCCCATCACAAAATTACTTAAATAGAAAATACACTTTCAAAGTAGAGTACCTAATTATAGTTTAATTTTTTCGTTGCACATCTCAGATTGAAAGCGTCTTTGTTATATGATTAATTTTGTGACTCTATCAGAAATTGGATCCAGCTGATTTCTAAGAATGTTGAGGAAGCTAAAGAAGGACTTGTGTCTGTAACAGCAAGAAATCAACTCTCCATCGACTTTCGAAATTCAGGAATTTACCTTCA